CCTGGATACCGATTTCTATAAATAAAATTAATAATTTTTAAAAGAGTTCTTTTCACTTTTCATTTAAGTGCTGTTTTCACCGCTTAAAAACCCTAAACGACTTGATCTAGCAAAACGGCTGGGCATTTTTTTTATCTTACTTTCCAAAAATGTTTGTTTTTTTCCTGGGTCAAAAACAAAGTTGATTTCTGTCAGACGGATTTATAGGTATATACTAAGTGTAACTAAGTTCCATAGGAAAGTTTTTTTTTAATATTTGCTTTTAATTTTAAAACATTTTTAATAATTGAGTGAAGCGATTTTCTTTTTAGTTCGGTACCCACACCACTTCCCGGTGAGAAAAGTAGTAAAAGTGTTTGAGCGGGCATAGCGATTGAGCAGAGAAATCGTTTTCATTTAGTACAGATTAATATGTATTACAAGTCTGCTCCCGTAGATACAATACCATTACATTGAAATGTTTAATTTCTACATTTCCAAGCTCTATCCTTCACCAGAGAGTATTCCATTGAACTTATATGGCGCTTATTGCTCGATATTGGCATCTGACCAGAAATTTGGTCGAAAGTAAATTGCTAACTCGACGACCATTCCTCACCTTTACTGCGCGACAATCTGCGAAAACTTCCGCTTCCCTTTGAACCAGTTAATCTGAACCTGATCTGATATTCCTTTAATTAGCAATCCAAAAATACTGCGATTTTTTTTCCACAGCACTCCACCTTCACAGGCGCAACAAAAACCTCAAAGCAGTAACCAGCAGCACTTATGAGCAAGCAATATCTAATGAGATTCTACCGCCAGACATCCCCAGCTCACATTTACTTGAGGTTAAGCCACTACGAAGGGACATTAGAAAGGGACTGTAGTCGACTATAACGACTATATTCAGCACCACATACAAGTACTTTTGAACAGGACGTCGCAGGACAGGCTTTGGACTCTTTGCTATTCCCTCAGTCTGCCAACACTTTCTTGAACTCATTTGTAGTGAAATGCGTTCGTGGAATCGTAGAGCTGGAGCTGCCTCCTAGAGACTCGAGTTACTCTGACGCGATTAAGATCTGTGTTTTGTAATCAAATTACTTCCTCCATATTCGGACTCGACCACGAAATACCCAACGTATGTTCTGCAAGTACCGAAAGCCATTAGTGTCATGTTGGCTTATTATCATTATTATTATGAATATATATTTTTAAAAACAAAGATATTTGCCTCTTGAATTATTACATAGAAAAGATGGATAAATATGTTTCCCTCAACTTTTCGGTAAATGGCGAAATACCACTTCTTTCGTTTGGTTGGCGAGTCCGACATTTGCAGTAGCCTATTCTGTTCTGTCTGTGAACCTATGTTTTAAACACATTTTCGATTATGTGGCTCTCTAAGTTTGCAATATCGGAATCAGTTGCGTGTTCTAAGTCTTAAATCATCTATGGAAGTTTTCCATGACATTTCACCCGAATAGCTTCTCGCAGAAAATATTCAAAAAGGAGCGTGAGAAGAAGAACCCCAGAAGTTGACTGACAGGAGAAATACTTGAAAAATCTTCAATAATATGAGGTGACCTACGGAAGGTTTCAAGACCGGAGAAATCTACTGAAGGACCCAACGAGGTGATTTGGCAACTGATGCTCAGAATATTATGAACTTAGGGGAGAACTCTCACCGAATGACTGAGAAGAATTTCGAATAGTCATTGCCGCTTGAAAAACTAACAAAGCGGAAGGGATTGCCGGCCGAGCTATTTAAATACGGTGTCGAAGAACTGACAAGGTGCATGTTTCAGCTTCTTAACATATGGCCAGTGCCAATTATCGAGGTATATAAGCCTCGTCAATAACGCATTTTAGGTTCTATCGGTCGTATTGTATGAGGGAGCAAGCGCCGCCGTCAACAAACTGATTTGATCTTTGTAAACGTGGGTTCAAACAAAATTTTCACAAAGCGCCAAATCTAGGAAAACTCCTGAAAATAGTACCTACATATAACACCTTTTCGTAGCTTTGAAAACATTATTCCACAAAAAAATATCCATCTAAACTGACGTTAAGAAATACCAAAACACCTCTATCAGGAACGGAAAGGTCCTCTTCGTTCCATTCAATAGCAAAACAGTTTTCAGACGACGTGAATCCTGTTCGACTGTTTTTCAAACTATCACTTGAGAAAATATTACGAGCTGCAGAGCTATATAAAGAAGCTGCAATCTTCGGTAATTGCTGATGTACGCCGGTAAGAGTTCCTAAATACTTTCTCCAGACTGGATAAGGAGGCCAACCGGAACGACTGCAAGACGAAATATCGACTACCACCAAACAAACAAATACTGCTGACAGTCATAAGTTTGAAGTTGGAGATGATTTTGTCTATCTTGAAATCTGTAATAATGTCAGCCTGGAATTGCAACGTAGAATCACTCGTGTCAACAGGTGTTACTTTGGACTGAGTAGGAAATTGAACAGTAAAGTGCTCTCTCGACGAACAAGTCCTGTACAATACAAGTCGCTCATCATTTCCGTCCAACTTTATGGTGCAGAGAATTGTTCGACACAACATCTGATGATGCGGCGTTGGGAGTTTGAGAGAGAGGTTTATGGTTCACTACGTGTTGGTAATGGCGAATTCCGCAGCCGATGGAACGCCGAGATGTACGAAATATATACGGCGATATTGGCATAGTTCAATGAATCAAGAAAAAGCAGGTCTGAATTTTTTCGATACAGTAACCGCCGGTAGAAGCTGAGGAAGAGTAACACCACCACTCCGCTGGAAAGACCACATAGAGAGGGATCTGGCTGTACTTGGTGTTTCCAATTGGTTCGTATAGCGGTTTCATATGCCTTACTTGGTCCTATGTAATTAAACTCTTTGAGTAAATAGCCTAACCACTTTTTCACTTTTAAAAATTTGCAATTTAAATTAAAGCCATTTTTGTAAAGGTTAAAGGTTTTTTCAAAAACATTCAATCTTCCGCTCAGCTCAATCAATGCAATTGACGCTCTTCTGAAGAATTTGCCAACAAATACAATCATTTTTCCAACATTTTTAAAATTAATTTTCAGATTTATTATTCAGTAAATTCGAAAAGTGAATTGCAAATACAATATTTCTCGTTATTACCACACTTAAATAACAACCACTCCAAACGAATTTGCATGTAAAGGACAAGAAGATGAGAAAGCACATACGCAGACTTTTCTTACATATTCATTTCAGAAAATATAGAGTACAAGTGTGAACCTTATGGTAGTCAAACTGATGCACTAGTTAACAAATGTAATGTTCTGACTAAAGCTACACTAGTCCGTGACTAAAGCTATACTAGTCCGAAAAGTATGAAAGCAGTACCAACTGCGATTACTCTTTTTAAATTAAAATATACATCAAAGACACTAAAATATTAATATTTTCTGAAATTAATTTCTGTGAATATCTATAGGCTATTATTATTTCCGTTCCTTTGTGCATGAATTTTATTTCAAAATTTAATAATTTATTGTCTAGTTGCAACAAGTAAAAAAAAATGGCAATTATCTATTGTAATATATATTATATATAAATGCTGAGAATTATACCAGGAAAATGATATTGAGCGGTCTAATTATGTTCCTTGGCATTCCCAATTAAACTCGACTTTTTATACTTTTTCATACTTTTAAACTAGTCTCACTAGTGCTGAACTAGAGTATTACACCATAGTGTTCGTTTGCCCAAAAATGTGTGTGTAAAAAGAAAACAAAGGATTTGAGTGCATATTTTTGCACAGATTTAAGTTCAGGAGCTGCTGCCATTGGAAGTTTTTGGCAAAATGTGCAAGCACACATGCATCCACATAAATATTTATTGAGGGTGGTGTAATTGTGTGTGCGTGTGTGTTTCTACTCACCAAGTTTTCCATAGTTTAGTTTATTCACTTCAAGCCACACCAGAAAATTTAGCATAACATACATACGATGCATACATACATAGCTAGCCAAAACTATCGATGGGATTTTAGAATATATTTTGTTTTCATTTCTTCTACAGCGAGCAAAAATATGCCAAACAATTTGCAAGACAAATATTGAAATGAAAAATGAAAGAGTGAAAAGCTGCCTAGAACGTTTCCATAGAAGAGGATGAAGCATAATTTACCAATGTTTGTGTATTTCGGGACATTTTGTAGATTACGCTCAAGTTTACTGGAAATGCATATATGCAACTGACGCTGGGAAATGTACTCTGTGCGAATGAAAATAAAATTTATATGTATGGAGAAGTATTCTTTTGTTATAAAAATAGTTTCTTTATTAACCATATTTGGTAGCTTTTAAAAGAAGGGAAGCCAAAAATATTATTTATAAAAAAATGCCACAATAGCTGAGCATTCCTTAAAGCATAGTTTTACAACATTCGATGAATAAAACACAATAAAATCTGATTCCAAGAAATTTTCGTATTTTCTTCAAAGAGAGGTTTCAGATAAATTAATTCATTATAGACAAATCAGAGAAAAGAATTATATTTTATTTACTCTAATTTAATTAAAAACTATCTTATATTACTCCATTTTATAAGGTTAAAATATAAGATATTATAATAGTTTATTAATTTCTTAACTACCTCTGACCATATATTTTTGCAAATAGTGAACAAATTACAACAACAGTTTTGGACGGTAGAAGTTATAGCTTCCACTTCACCTTTTTTCGAATTGGATTCAAGCTTGGGATTCCCACAGCACGAGCCAATGGTTTCATTTATTTCATTTTATTTTATTTTGGCATATTTTATTTTATTTCTTTTTGTGTTATTTAATTTGAGTTTATCTTTTTTATTTTATTTATTATTTTATTTTATTTTATTTTATTTTATTTTATTTTATTTTATTTTATTTTATTTTATTTTATTTTATTTTATTTTATTTTATTTTATTTTATTTATTTTATTTTATTTTATTTTTATTTAATTAAATTTCGTTTCATCACAAAAAAGCTTAATTTAGGGGAATACTTACATACAACGTCCATGCGTCCTTCCCCCTTCACTGAAGAAAAGTTGGGCGCCTCTGCTGAGATTTCACAGCTATACAAGCCGGATGAGTTGATTGTTAAGCCACGTAAAAGCACGCGCCAACTGTCGGAGTGTTCTTCCTGTGAATAAAGCAAGCATACATATTTCAGCAGATAAAGAATTTTTAAGTATATACATACATAAACATGTGTGCTCGTGCAAATGGATGTGTGTATGAATTTTTTATTATTTGAAAATGGGAAAGTAGAAAAAATATATTTTATATATACACAAATATTTCCAATTTTTCGATGCTTATTTGTCATTTATAGAAGTTTTGCATTTTCATACTTACACTAACACGAATGCCATCAAAGCGGTAACTTGTCTTCTGTGGCCGCCCTTTGGGCACAAATCGATAGAACTCCTCATTGTCCTTGTACCACTTTATGGCATAGAGAGCTTCACCTTCCTCATCCTCCTCCTCCTCCTCTTCCTCCTCATCTTCGTCATCGCCATCTGCGTTCTCCTCGTCATCGTCGGTGTTATCAGCAAAGCTGTAGCGTCGTGATGAAGCCTCCGCTGCTGCACCGTTTGTACTGCCTCTGTGAGTGAAGGTACTGGCGCCTACTTGTGCACCTCTGCTGTTGCTGCTACTGCTGCTGCTTATGCCGCTGCTGCTAAAACCTGGAATGCCAAGCGCTTGACTGAATGCAGCGCCACGATAAACACTGTGGCCGTAGGGGGAACGCTGTGTTTGATATGGATACTGGTATGGCTCGTCCTCGTCCTCCTCCTGCTTTTGCTGTTGTTGTTGCTGATATTGCTGCTGATAATAACTGCTGCCAGCAGCCGTTATGTCACCACTGCCACTACTACTGCTACTGCTACTGCTGCTGCTGATGATACTGCCGCTGTTGCTGCTGTCGCCATAACTTTGTTGTGATGGCGGATGTGGATATGTTTGTATGTAATGCTGCTGGTAATGTTGTTGATGTGTCTGTTGCTGCTGTTGTTGTTGTTGCTGCTGCTGCAACTGCAGTCGTTCTGTTTGATAGGAATATTGACGTTTGTTCCGGCGCTTATATTTCGGCCTCATTTCCATCAAATGATGTGCATCGAAAATTTTCATATTGCTGCTGGCATAACGGTTTCGCGTGTGAGCGTTGCGCATTTGCGTGCGTGTGCGTGACTGGCTGCGTTGTCGATTGGTGGCACCAGCAATTGGTGCATCTCTTCCGCTGTTGCCATTGTTACTGCTGCCACTGCTGCTGCCAACTCCGCCATAATATGGAGGTCCGCCTGTGCGGTTCAATTCATATTGGCACTCGAGCATCGCAGACTCGCCGCGAAATCTATAAGTTGGTATTGAGACTTTAACCAAACGCAGACCGGCTAAACCTGTTGGTGAAAAAGAAGCTCAATGAAGTTTTTACTTAATTCGATCGGAATAAATGTAGGCTTCATACGATTTTAAGTTTCAGTAAATAAAATGAGATTATTTGATACAGAAAAAAAGGGGCTTGGAAAAAAATTATATCAAAATTCTACGATGACCCAGAACATATCCAGAGAAAAAATTATTTCTTGATATTAAAAATTATTATTATTTCGAAAACGGTTATAAAAAGCGCTCATATGCTTTTAGTATCGAAGTATTTAATTGGTAACAAAGGGTACTGAAATTATAAGCCCGACGCCTTTCCGTGGCCGATTTACTGTGATTATCGTCTTATTGGCTTTACTACTTGCCATTGAAGTCAACTCGAACTGGTCTAGATCAAAATGTAAATTTGTGTCAGCAAAAATGCTTAACAAGTCTCAAATCGAGACAGCAATTCGATTATGGTACAGGGTGCTCCATGTTTTATGTGGTTACGTAAACATTGAAGAACTTTGAGAAAAAGCAACCGATTTCTATAATTGTAGTAATTTTTTCAGTTTGGTTCCTTACTTATTTTTTGGACTAGTTTTTGAAAACAATATCAATCAAGTGGCTACCTTTATCAGCAATTTCAAAATGGCTCCTTTCTTCTGCGTTTATCATTACCTTTCCGAGCATCTCGGCTGTATAGCATCAGGAATATTTGCCTTGAGCTCACCAATAGTTTGAGGCTGGTTGGCGTTAAGAGAACATAATTTGATTCAAAGAACCATTCTCTCTGTTAGCGCAATTTTCCAATACATTTTCGATTGTGTGACTCTCTAGGGCTGCAATGTAGACTTGAGTTTCGTGTTTGAAAACATGAATTGTCACTTAGCAGCGCCTCACGAAAACTAGTCTAACGTAGTCGAATCGCAGACGCGAAGCAGCCAGGTGGGATCGCTGTTTCGGTGAACAATGCGATTTTCGAACACAGAGCGCAAAAGAGCTTAGGCAAAAAGCGCACAAAGCGGCGTTCTGTTTAAGCTACACATTCTCCGTGGCATTCTCTTCGACATATGGAAGCAAATAATCTCTGAACCGATGTTGCGGACGGTCCAAATTTCATCTTCAGCTCAGTGAGCGACGTAAAATCGCTTCAGATGATAACGAGGTATTAGTTCTTCTACCAATTCGACTGAGGTCTTTATGTAAAATTCTACACAAAGAAGTATACGAAATGCTCCAGAACATTTTGAGCCACATACTAGCCGTAGACATAAGGTATTTTATACTAATTAAGATAATGTGAGAAATTATGGTCACTTAACTCAGCTGTGTTTGAGCGATCAAGCACAATTTCCGGCTCGTCGATTTCTTTCCGGTAATTTTGATGTAAAAGATAAGACAGAGTGTGGAGCGCCCACTGTCGAAAATGTCAAATAAAAAAGGGAAATCGTCTAGTCTGAAGCTCACGCGAGCACTGTTTCTGTTGTTTAGGATCCTAAATATTGCCCAAATAGTAGAAAAATTCTGAATACGCAAAGAAGCTGGATTTATCCTAATTTCCATCGTATACTGAATCGTAATAAAATCCACATATGAAATGGATGGAGACTAGTGTTCGAAATGGATCACTTACAGCAACATCAAATAAAAACCTGCAAGGATTTATTATGTGTTTTGTGGGATGGCAAGGAATCATTTACTACGAGCTCCTCCCTAACGGGCAAAACTCTTAATAAGGAACTATACTGTTAGCGTATGGACTGTCGGAAGGAAGCAATTGCCCAGAAGCACCCAGCTTAAACAATAGTGACTCGCCAAAAGCAGCGAGAACTTGGTTGAGAGGTTCTTGTGCATTCACCTTATTCTCCGGGCATCGCACTTAATGATTACCACCTGCTCGTGTCTATGTCGAATGATTTGGCTGGTGCAGAATTATTCTCAAGAGTAGCATGTGAAAACCGATCGGCGATATTTTTTGCCACCACGAGCAAGAGTTTCTTTGAAAAAAGTATACTGACATGAAAAAAATATGGAGCAAAACGGTGCATACTCGTACTTGACATAAATCAGACAAATCTAACTATGGGAATTTAACCCAACTACGCTTATTGAATGCGAGATACAGATCACTAAATACTTTTTATTAGGCCGCTATATACAATATGAATTAGTTTGACCGATAACGAACCGGTTTGGCTAACCCATTGCACAGATTGCTCCATACAATGCCGAGAAAACGAGTAATTTCGCCCGGATTTTGTACGTAGTTCTCCTTTAGAAGTAAGTTTTCAGTATTTACGGAACTTCTTCGAATATAAGCTTAACCTTTTCGTAAACAGCAAACCTTGTCCTAAATATTTAAAACATCGGGAATGCCATTACAGTTGTCACAGCTCAAATCAGACGTAGTGCAAGGAGCAAATAATTAGTTGCCCTCCCTTTATACATATAATTTCCTCCTATGAACGGGTGGGGAATTTTTGAAGATATTTTAATTTTATGTAAGAAACTCACTCGAAGGTTTTGAAATCCCCTGCCAGAAGGCAACGGCGATTAGAAAAATTATTTCTATAATTTCCTAGGTGATCAGACCAAAGCTTGAATCCACGTTTCTCGGCTAGTTAGAAGGCACTCAAATAATACCCCATCAATTTAAAAATCATTTCTTAGATAACTAGATTTTCTAGATATAGCTACTGACTGTGAGATCATCCCCATACAAAAGGCGATGCAGAAACCCAAAATTTTATTTCGCTTCCAAAATTTCGCTAAAAATATTTTGCGCTCAAAATAAATGGCAAATCTTTTTCCATTCTTTAACTTCATCCACATTTCTATGAACGCAGATATGCGGGTGCACACACAATACCTTTGTACAACGGCTATTACTTACTCGTATACGTGTATACTCGTATATATGTATTTTTTCCAATTGGTTCGTGCATAATTTCCTTGCAAACGAAATTCATATGCAATTATATACTGCGCTGCTGATTGCCTTTAACATTTTATTACACTGATGACCTACTTTCCACAGAACAAACAAAGCAAAGTGTAGTTTAACTAAAGAAAATCCGAACTCACATAAGTTTCTGTTTAATTTTGATTTATTTTACAAATTATATTCCACCTTAGGGTAGTATTGTAAGTGCATTAATATACCTACATACATATGTACTTTGTATATATGTATGCTATTTGGAATAAAACAAAAAAATATTTGTATATAATAAAAAGATATAGGGAATTTTTACTTATTGCTGTCACAATTTATTTTTTATTTAATATCTCTAACTAAGTGTGTGAAGCATAACGCGAAATTGACGAAACGTGCAAGTAACGAAATCAGCTTCTGAATATTTGCCTATGTGTGGCTTCAATTGCCTTCGTTCAAGTATCGTTCAAGTCGCGAGAAAATTCAAAAGTATTGGATGAGTGCATAAGTTCGTGCCCGGTTCCGCTGGATGCCGTTCGAATCGTTTTAGAGTGGCGCTCGTGAAAGAAATATATACATATATATATTATATATCGTTGAAAGGTGACAGTCCGAACTGTAAATCAAGCATAAAATAATTTCATTTTGATTTGAGTTACTTAGTGAAAAGACGCATAGAAGATGGACAACGAAAAAGNTTCTTCAAAAAATTTCAATTTTAGTTTGCACTTGAAATCGGGCACGAACTTATGCACTCATCTAATAGATATTCAAGGCTTATAATATCTATGTGGAAGGATGGGATGCTTTCGGGTATGACTAATCTTGACGACCACAAAAATTGTTTTTAAACTATGAATTGATCGACAATAGACTTTTACAATATTTTATTGGTTTTAATATGCCTTGCTGAATATTTAAACGATTTTTTAAATAAATTTCAGCACTTAGATAATTTATGAATATTTTTGGTTAATATCTAAGAGGCGCATCAGAGGCATAAGACATTCCAATAATTCTACTTAACAATAACTTAAGGGGCACACCTAGTGTGATATTTCAAAAAAATCGATCTTTTTTCATATTTCTGTAGATTACACCTCTAAAAATTAACATATTAAAATGTTAAATCGATATCTCAAATAGTTTTTGAGTTATAGCAATTTAAAGAGCAGCAAATTAAAGAGCAGCTCGGCAGCTAGAGAGTCTCCATTTTATGTTTAAACGCGTTTTTCTGAATACAGAATTTGCCGAATTTACTGCAGTGATTACTCAAAAACAAATGATCCGATCACTTTAGAATTTTTTTACATATTCTATATATAGTTCTCCGTACAATGACCTATCGATTTTTGATCTGATCAAAAAATCGAATTTTGGCAGACCAAAAACGACCAAAATTTTGGGTAAAATTCGACAATTTTTTTAAAACGCCGCCATATTGTAAATTTTTTATTTTTTTTTTTATTTATCGTAGGTCATTGTATAGACAATATTATCTAGTAGAGAGTTTTTTTTAGATTTCATCCACGGAGAAGGCGGAATCACTGCAGCAGAGAGGGACCATTTCTCGAGATCGACTATAACTTAAAAAATATTTAATTTTTTTCTTCAAAAATTTCACTGTATTTTCTTGAAACATGTATACATATATTCTTAAAAATTTGAAATAATTGATAAGGTATTTTTTTAATAACAATTCCGAAAAATCGCCTTATTTTTAGGCCAATGCACTAGGTGTGCCTCTTAAAGCCATTCACAATTACAGCTCGGTGCGATGGGGCATTGTCGTCCTTAAAAATTAATGAATTTCGTTGGCCCACAATTCCGCCCTATTACTATGTATGTTTTCGGGCTGTTGCGTTTGCATTATGTTATTTGAACGCTTAAATAATACTCTTTTCTTAGGGGGTTAAGTCCCGTTGGAACGAATTTAAGATGAACCAAACCACGAATATCGAAAATCGATATTTGGGACCGTTCAATTGGGTGCCTAGATCGTGCAAATTAACGTCTTTAGACTATTTTTTGTGGGGCTCTGTTAAATCGTATGCCTTTACAGACAAACTTGCTTCAATTGACGCATTGGAGGAT